TGGACACAGTATTCAAGGTGCGGCCTCATCAAAGCTGAGCACAGGGGAGTGATGATTTCCCTGGTCGTGCTGGCCACACAGTTTCTGATACAAGCTCTGTGTTCTCTCGAGTTTTCCTTTAGATATCCGACCACAGCAGTTAGATCACCCTCTTAGCTTTCTCCTTTTCAAACTGAACAAACCCAGCTTCCTCCATCTTCTTCATATGCCATCTGCACCAGCTCTCTGACTGTCTTAGTGGAAAGGTATCTGTAAGTGATATAGGAATTTCCAGAGCAGAAGACGCCCTAACGCATGTCAGGTAATCTTCTCCCACAACACTACCTTCCCTAAATCAAGCAACCTTTATTTCTTATCTAACACAAAAAAGTTTGAAATACAAAGCCCTGAGGACAGGTAAATGAAAGGATTTTGAAGATGTCTCTTCTGCTCAGCTTGATTCAGAAGCTTGGAGTCCTCACGGCTGGTAATGGTTTGTCAGTGAGATGCAGCCATCTCAGAAGTACTTCATAAAGACTTTTAGGTAGAGAGGTGAGGTAGCACAACTTACAGCTTGGCAAAAGCTGGCAGCCTAGTGGGTCAAAATGTGACTAGACACCTGATTTAGAGAGTTTCAAGGGGAACTATGTCTAGATGGAGAAGAAAGGCAACACACACACAATAGCACCTTGCACAAAAGGCAATTTGGACAGTGTTTAATGCTGTTAGATATTCAGCACAATACAGGAAATACATAAATCAGAAACCAGTTTCTGAACCTACCCTGGGAACCAACAATTATTCTCTCTTACCTTCATGGAAATCTCCCTGTTGGGCGGTATATGGCTAGGTCTTCTCCAAGTGGGAAAAAATGGGATAGGAAAAAATGAGAGGAAGCAGAAGGACATTCTTTATCTAGAATAGCATTTTCCACTCATGCTACTATGAGTGGAAGAAGAAAGAGAAATTCCCTTCCCAGACACAACGACAGTGGGAGAAACTGTATTTCTGACTCAGCACTCTGCACAGGCACAATGAGTAGGTGCCTTATACCCACAGAGCGAACAGGATCTCAGCCAGCCTGAACATGTAACCATCACATTTAGAAAGGGTGATGGTGCTGAAAGGAGCAAGAGCTAATCCTGCCAAGGTTCTTCATCCTCATGCTTGCTCATGGTCTCTGTAATCCAGTCTAAGTAACGCACTACTTTGGTGTAAAGACCAAAGGTACCACATCTTGGTCCCCAGGAGATCAGCCCAGCCACATAGTACCGTCTGTCATCAAGAGGATCTTGGATAGCATAGGCTCCACCACTATCCCCCTTACAGCTGTCCTTGCCACCTCCGGCACAGATCATATTGTCAGTGAATTGGTAAGCACTGGAATCAGCAGAGCCCTCTGGTTTCACAGATCGGCACCTATCCATGTCCACCACAGGAATCTGGGCCTTCCAAAGATTAACAGGTAATCTTCCTCTTTCCCCCTGGCCCCAGCCAGCAATGTAGCCAAGAGTTCCTTCTTGCAGCTCATATTCAGGTGATTTACCAGGAAGACAGAGGGGCGAGATGTCTGGGCCCATCTTCACAGGATCCCTCAGCTTCAGTAGTGCAATATCACTATCAAAATCAGTCCTGGTTTCTATGGGCTGCTTCTTCCAATTAGGATGGATGAATGAAGCCTCTGGGATCAGCTGCTTGGCCTCCCAGTACAGAGTTTCTCTACCAACATTGATTACCCCAAAATACATGTTGGGCTTGTCATATCCCTCCAGCACATGAGCTGCAGTCATTACCCATCTTTCAGAGATGAGTACGCCACTTCCTCTTGGGTAATCGAAATACACCTGCCAGGGAAAGTTGCCCTTTTCTGCAAGGGTACCTCCAAAAATCTTTGCTTTCTCTCGGATGGGATTACTAGGCACCCCACAGACTGGAAAGAAAAAGAAAAAGAGGAACCAGATGGGAGAATTAGCAGTTACAAATAAAGGGTTCTTTGGTAACACTAGATGTCCCATAGTCCCCTCCTCCCTATGTCCTCTAAATCATTTTTTATTCTGAGTAACCAGTGTTTATATTCTATGTCACAGAGTTTGCAACTCATATTTACAGAGAAATTCAATAAATTTCAAGCAAAACTACTATCAACATTCAGTTTAGGCTGAAAAGACTTGTTCTTAACTTCTTCTTCTGGAAACCAAAACATGGACAACTATCATCACCCTGCTGGTGTTGGGTATGTCAAAGCTCACCATTTAATTGCATTCTAGTTACCATTTCTCCTTTGCTGGATTACATCCTGTAGGTGAAGGGATTGTCTTTGAAAAAATATTTGCTTAAGTTCTTAACAAATATGATCCTGTTCTTTAAATGTTTTTGAGTGGTTTGGGGGGGGGTTTTGGTTTTTTGTGAACTCCAGATAGTCTCAGGTTAAGTGTTCAGATTTGTCACTGATGTTTTACCATTTTTCCTCTCAGTTCTTTTAGTATGTTAGCAGTGGGTTAATGGAGATCTTATCTGTGGGCCTTATGGGTGCTGAGATGCTTCATGCTTTTTGAGTAAAACATTCTATAAGGTTTTGCTGAATGTGAGCACTAAGGCCATAAATAAGGCTGGTCATCCTGACATAGCTAGGAAATTTATTTCTTATTACATTGCCTTCTATATTTTGAACCCTTAGTCATATAGTCAGAGATTAAGGAACTACTATAGCCAGTAGGTAGCTTCCATTTTAAATAAAGTAGAGTTTGTTAAAGAATTTCATGTAATGATAGAAAGATTTAGGCTAGGAGGTACCTCTTGATGTCTCTAGTTCAACCTGTTCATCCCTCACTGCCCTTCCCCCTGCCCTCCTAACTGCAAAGCTAGGTGTCCTAGTTTTGCTAGGATAGAGTTAATTTTGCTCAGGGGCTTTGCCAAGTGACTTCTGATTATCTCCAAGGGTGGTGATTAGCCAGCCTCTCTAGGCAACAGTTCCAGTGCTCTGGGGAGCATATTTCCTTGAATACAGTCAGAACTTCCTTTCTTGCAACCTGTGCCCATTGCCTGACATTGTCTTCTGTTGCTGTGTCCCACTGAGAAGAGTTTGTCTTCATATTCTTTGTAACCTCCTCTTGGGTAGTAAATTCCCTGAGCTTTATCTTACCATTTGCCTTTTGCTCTGTGCACTTGTATAGTCCAAGTCAGTTGCAGGGCTGGTCCTTAAGAGGGCTGAATCATCTTCAGCTGGATCTTGTACTTTGCCAATGAGTATCTGGTGGCTTGGAATAGTGAACAGGCATCATGCTGCCTCCTCTAAGAGGGTAAGCTGAATGGCATGCAGCATGCATAGGATGTAAAGTTCTCTCTATCAGCTGGAAGTTAAGACCCAGCCAAAACTACCAGTCATCAGGAGCAGGAGTAGTACCCATGCACTTCCCTCCTCAGTGTCTCCCAAGTGCACAAAGAGAGGATGGGGAGATCCTTGACAGGGATACTGCCTGAGCTTTCACAGACAGTGTAGCTGAATACTGAAGGACACATTAAACCTTAAGGGTTTAGGCTGTGCCTTCCAGTGAGAGTAGTGACAGCACTTTCCCTATAGCGCTGCATCTGTAATGCCCAGTGGACAGCTGGACCACTAACCCTGGGACAGGTTTGAAGAGAAGCTACAGCTCTCAGGGTAGCTTGGGAGGGACAGAAGAAAGAAAGGTCCAGCATTGTCAGACATCTCTTTTGACCTGTCAGTCTTCTTGCTACCTGCAATGCAGACAGAGATCTAAAACACTGAACAACTTGAGAATGTGAACTCTTAAAGGTGGGGAAACTGGTGCAGAAAGAGACAGTGATACTTGAAGAGGTCCTGTTATACCTGCTGTGTTATTATGTTATTTTGTTGCCTGCCTATGTTTTCAGTTTCTCTCTGCTGCCTCATCTGACCTTTCTTTGGGGCCCTCAGCTTTCAGTAATACCCTGTCCAATGTGATACAAACAACATAGAAAGGCTCAGCTGTACTTTCAGGCTTAGCAGTTTAAAAACAGAGAGATGAAAGAAGCAGTGGGCTTTGTATGCTGTGTGTACAGGTTTTGGTAGTACCTGGGACACATTTTGGTAGCTTTGTTCCCATCTCTTCATTGACCCATTCTCCACTGGCTGAGCACTGATACACCGCTTGGAAAACACAAGAAAAAAGAGTGCCATAAGGATACAATCAAGATGAAAAGAGGGTAGAGTAGCATTACTGTATAAGACAATTAATTAACCTTCTCATTTCCAAAGCAAGCACAGCTTGGGAGACATTGTTGAGATCATCCTAGAAGGACACCCCCCACCAGGGTACATCTGCCTCTATTTTGGAGGGACCTCATCTAATAGATTTCTTGAGTCCTTTACTTCTCCACCAGAAATGTGTGCCAGATGTGACAAAATCTCCATGGTTCACGTACCAGGCAAATGGAGAAAGGACTTGCTAATGCATTTAAGGTCAATAGCCCACATACAGACTTATTACAGTGTATCAAACACAAAGTCAACACAAAACTGCCTGCAACCCCACACCAATAAGAATCTTTTCCCAGTCTCGACCTGATGGGATATAATCCCAGCCCCATAATGATGCCAGTACCATCTCTCAGGCCTTTGATCACAGAAATATGTTTGTGTAGCAGAGGTAGTGCTTACCATCCCCCTTGGTTTTTATGGTATAGTAGGGTGCATCACATTGATATTGGAAAGCAGCTTTGTACAGAGGCTCATGAAGTTCAGAGACATATATGGCTTGGGCATTGTCAATAGGAATGGGATCACCACAGTTCACAGCTGTAGAGAAGGAGAAAAAAATTATTAAACATAATCAAAGGGGCACCCTCACTCAAGAGTATGATTATTCTGGATGATGGGAAACCACTCAGCTCCTCTGGTCCCTGTACAGTCACCACCGCTCCTTTCCTCTGTGCCTTCAGCATGTTCACATCCCAGTCCTCCAGTGCCCTCCTAACTGGAGATACAGTGGATCTAGAGCCTGAAGGCTCCATTCCAGTCTGCTTCCCACAATACAGAGACAGTTCACTTACGAACACAGCTGAAATGGGAGTTGCTCCATTCACCATTGTCCTGGCAGCTGGAGTGAAAAGTCGTGATGCTATCTCGTTGCTAGGGAAAAGAACATATGATCCATATAAGTCACTGGCCATGAAATGTATCGCAAAAACTCCAGTGGGGGGTCCTCAAGATGCTGCAGTGGCCAGAAGTTTCCACTTACTAGAGCTGTGATGAAAACTTTGAGTCCTCAAAAGTGCTCAGGACACCTGATGGGAAAGCATCAGGAAGCTGCTGAGAGGGCTAGAGAGGATAAATGCTTTTTTCTGTAACTTACCCTCACAATTTCGTAGCCTTCCACACAGGTCACCTTCACATTGTCCTTGAAGATATATCTGTCCTTCTTTGGGTCAAGAACTGAGTTGGGGATGACACTCGGGGGACAGGTTACAGCTTTGAAGAGAAAGGTGGAAATCAGTGATTAACTGGTTCAAGATTTACTCTCCTTCCAGCTCCCAACTTCTTTCTCCCCAGTGATTATTCTCCCTAGTAAACAGGCATCCTCTGTTTACTCAATACCAGCAGCTGTGAACACGTTAATACGCTGTTGTACCATGAATCTGACCTGAGACAAACTCTCTTCCTAACTCAGCAGCAGAGGGAATGCTTTCCCAAGTGTCTACTCACGATCCCCATAGTAGCGTATTTTCCAGCCTTTGTGCTGTACTTTGTGGTCTGTCTGGAAGATTATGTCCAGAATGTTGTTCCTAGTTTTGATTTCAGGAGGGCCTGGGAATTTGCTGCCACAGTAGGGACCAAAACGCTGCTTTCCAGAGACAAACTGGGAAAATAACAAACAAGAAAAAATGAGAAAAACCACATGTATTCAGAGAGATATTCACAAGAATTTCAAAAGGCAACATAGGTGAAAACAAAGTTAAGCAGTCGGAGGGTCTTTTGAATATGAGGTGACTGAGGGGAGATCCAGAGCATCCTGACACCCTCTCCGAGCCCCACACCTACTGTTAAGCTGTCATGGCAACGCCCTTCTGAGCTGGCTGGTTCCACATCGAAGTCCTCACTGCGTATGGTCAATGTCACAAAGTAGCCTGGCCTCAGAGCCACTTGGTAATCACACAGCGAGTTCTCTGGGTACTGGTTGGGATAGTTGGGGCTGGCAATCTCCCCTGATGGGTCAGTGAAGACATTTCCACTGCAGTTCACTAGGAAGAAACACGGATAGGATTCAGAAAGGAAATGGTCCAAAGCTGACAAGCTTTCCCTTTTCCACTGTCTCTCTAGTCTCCCCAGCCACCTGCATTAACCATGTCACAACATTGCATCTTTTCAAGAAACTGAAACCAAGACCACACTCTATACAATTAGACAGGGACTTGAACTTCTAGTGGCCTGAGACACATTGAACTCTTGCCCATCCTTTGGGCAACTTCCTCGTGTACTCAGCACTAGGGGACAGCTTCAGCACATCTTTTGCTCAGTCTCACTTAATTTCTCTTAGTGTCCTCTCTTTTTCCATCCATCTTTCTTTTCACCTTCCAAGTGCAATTTAGGCTTTCTTCCCTCATGCTCAGGTCCTCATATTATACCCCTTTCAGCAGGCAACATTTGTGACTTTGCAATTTTTTGGTTCAAGCCAAGCAGCCTCTTGGCTGTTTTTGTGTCTTCATTGAACCACCCTGTTTTGTCAGAGATTAAAAGATTCACTGATAGCAGTATGCCAAGAAGGGTCTACATCACAGTCTTTGGAGAACATCGTTTAATAGTTTTTTCATTCTCTTGACACCAAAAAGAAGAATGATAAGAATATGTTGATAGAAATTCCCAAATCACAGTTTACTGCCAGTTCAGATTTGCACTGGGATGTTCTTTTCTCCAAAATATACCTGCCACTACTGGTTAAGAAGGTTGATAGAGAAGGTTTTCCATGTACGATATCTCACTTGACCACAGCTCATGTAAATCTCTTACCTCCACATGTTTTCTTATCCTCATAGAGGAAATAATCTGGTGGACAGGTACAGAAGTAACCTCCAATATAATTATTACAGTAATGACTGCAAGGTTCCTCCACAAAATCCATGCACTCATCCAAGTCTGCAAGTGTGAAAAGATGAATCAGTCAAGATTAGGAGAGGACACTACAGAGATTCAGAGGAGGCTGTTTGAACCTTACCCACTGCAACGTAGTAGGCTGCAAAACCAGTGAAACGTTCCTCATTGGAAAAGTCTGATTGGAAGGTCACAGTGAGGGTGTTATAAGGGACATTAAATTCCTCCACAATCGAGGAGCCAGGGGCATGAGGTTTCTTCCGCCCACAAAGCTTGCCTTCAACATGGCCAGCATATAGGAGCTGCAGAAGAATGCAAAGAGATCTCATCTCCTTACTGGAATATGTGTAGCTACGAACACTTGAGTCTTTCAGCTTATAGGTGGCTAACTAAAGGCTCCTAAGTTGCAAGCATTTCTCATGACATTCAGGTAGATCTCCCAGGGCACAGCTAATCTCATGTAGCTAGTAGGAGACCAAGGCTGCTGTGTGATCCACAGAGCTGGCCAAATGTGGAAGACAGCCAGCCAAGGTACAGCTGAACAGAGCCCCTAGACAATCAGTTTCATGACATGTGTAAGGTGCTTGAGGAGCATTCCCTCTTCCTGACTTCCCAGAAAGTTCTCTGTTAGCCAACATCCTTTCCTCAGGCCCTCTTGTACAAAAAATGAACACTATGGTTCAAAATGGCAAAACCAATCACTGACAGACTGTAAAGCAGTCTAAGAGGTTCTCCAGTTTGTTGCAAAAGGACACATGTTATTACAGCTCCCAGCAGGGCACATCCATCCCACTGTTCCACTTTGGCCCTCCAAGGTCTCCTTCTGGTGCTGCATCTGATCTTATTGCTCCTTTTCACACATAGCTACTGTAGGTCAGGATGGTCTTGTTTCTGTCTGTTTGTGTGGAAATGCTTGATCTTTTGTGCCTTGTGGAACAATACGGAGCTGAGCTAGTGGGTCTCTAAGTTTTGAGAAAGCTGTTGTGCATAGATCATAGAAAACTGTGGTGCAATGGACCACAACTCTTTATTTGAGTACCCACCATCCATACACAAATCTCAATTGGTTTTAACCTTCATCATTTCCAATCAATTTATGTTTGCATTAAATCATCTATGTCCGCTCAAGGATTAATTCTGTATCATTTCAGGGACAGAAAATCAATGCTCTAAGAAAATGGTCCTTTTATACCTACAGTTCACTGGCTAAGAATATGCCTTGCAATAGGGAGGTGTCAGTGATGGCCAAGGTGCCTTTTCCTGTGAATATAGGAGAAACATGGGGAGGGGGACACAGATGGGACACTTAGTTGGCAGACAACGCTCCTGTGGTTATGAGGCAAACTCAAATCAATTTAGTGACTGCTAGTGCAGATACACTGAGTCATTTGGGCTTCTTGGAGCTCAGAACAGGAAGGATGTGTCTATCTCCCTTTCCAGCCCTGAGCTTTGTACACAGCTTTGCTGTTCTGTGCTCCAACACACCTTCTTGTCTTTTTGCCTCTTGGGGATGGGGACAGTACCTTCACAGAGTCATATTCGCAGTTCTGCGATGGCTCAAGATCCATATGTGTGAAATAAAGGCGAATGCCATATCCCGAAGGGACTCGGATTTCCCAAGATTCCTGCACATCATTGGGATACACCTGAGGATAATTGGGTGACAAGATCTCACCGTACATGGAGGTTGCATCAGCCCAGGCAGGGAGACAGAAGAAGATGATGTTCCTGAGAAAAGAGGAAGGAAGATGACATTGCAGTAGTCTTCCCTGTCCACATATGCACACAGTCCCTAGTGAAAAGGCCAGTCTTTGGCTGTGCATAGCATGCAGCGTAACTCCTGGCTTTGGAGTTTTAATAGTTTTAATAATGCTGTAGCTGGGTGAGGTTTATCTTTCTCCTGTAGCCTTTTTTGCAGAGGGAATACAACCTCAGTAATCCTCCCTGCTCCTCTCCAGCTCTATAGGAGCTGGGAATGCTGCAGGAGTTGAAGAGAAGGGTGTTAAGTGCTATTCCCTACTTCACTGCCTTATTCTGGACAGCTATAGATACCTTGGGCTTGGGCTATAGATACATTCAGATTTGAGAATCAGTACAGTACTACATGAAAAACACCTAATTTAGAAAATGAAACTATTAATAAACCTGAGTTTCCCTTGGAGATTCAATAACTCACCACATCTGGATAAAGCAGATCATCTTTTCTGAAAACTTTCAGGAATTGTGCTTTGGAGTCATGGTCTGGGATAAAAAACAGTGTGTTTTATTAATGTTGCCTGTGCTTCTGCGTGTCTGCTATGCAGGTCAAAGACCCTAAAAACCCAGCTTGTGGAGAATATGTCAGTGATTTGCCTCAAAAGCAAGCTGATATCTCTGTTCCTTCCTGCATACAGCAACCCCAAGCATCAAGAAGTGATGCTAAGCTCCATACTGACAAAATGGAGGGATGATCTCTATCATGCTATTCACTGGTACTCACATTCTCCCCTTATGACACCATCAGTGTCTCCAAGCACCACGCTGCTGCACAGCAAATTAAGACAGAAAGTACCTCCCCCCCTCCACCCTGGGGTACCCAATCCATTCTTCCCACACCTCAAAAATTAATGCTAAGACCCTGGGGCTGGGGAGCAGCCTGTCCTGACTCTTCCAGCTCCCAGCCAGCCATGCTCAGGAATATTTTCCTTTCCCATTTCCAATGCTTGAAATATTTACCTTCTCTCCCTAGTTCATGTCTGGTTTGCTTCTCTCTTCCTTTCTCTTTCGTTTCTTTCTCTCTTTCTTTTTCCTTCCTGTTCACACCCTCCTCCAAATGTACCCAAGGCCGGGTTTGGGGAAGAGAGCTCTCACTGGTAATATCGCAGCACCCTCTGCCTGAGGGACGCAGCTCGCCACCCTCCCGGCTGGGGTGAGAGCAGGGGAATGTCCAGAAGTTGCACAATCCCTTGGCTCAGGCTGTGTGGGAGAGCGCACCAATCTGGGCTGGATTAGGCGTTTTCGAGAAATCAAATGACTTTTGGGAAAAGGGAGGGGAACAGAGTTTTTGGCTGCCTTCCCTCTCTTCCTCTTCCCCCTCTCTTATAAAAGTTAGGAACAAAATCCAAAGGGTGTAGAAAAGGGAGAGTCTGCATGAGAACTGGTCCAGTGCTTCTCCATGTAAAAAAACTCTTTGATCATCCTGTCCAGAGACCACTTTCATAGAATCACAGAATGGTTTGGGTTGGAAGGGACATTAAAGCTCATCCAGTTCCAACCCTCCTGCCATCAGCAGGGACACCTTCCACTAGACCAGGTTGCTCAAAGCCTCATCCAACCTGGCCTTGAACACTTCCAGGGAGGGGGCAGCCACAGCTTCTCTGGGCAACCTGGGCCAGTGTCTCACCACCCTCACAGGAAAGAATTCCTTCCTCATATCTCATTTAAATCCACCTTCTTGCAGTTTAAAGCCATCACCCCTCATCCTGTCACTCCCTGCCCTTGTCAAAAGTCCCTCCCCAGCCTTCCTGTAGCCCCTTCAGATACTGGAAGGCCACTAGAAGGTCTCCCAGGCTGAACAGCCCCAACTATGTCTTTGCCAGAGTCCTCTCTGTTACTGCAACCTGGTGGCCACAGGGCTGGCACTGCTCCTCATCTGATGCTTCAGAGACCCTTTTTCAGGGGAAAAAAAAAGGAAAAGAGAGTGGCCTATTCAATGTTGTTCTTCTCTGAGGCTACTAGCAGGAGTAAAAGTGTATTGTTTTGCTGGCTTTTGTTATGGGAAGACTCCTGTAAGTAAGAACTTGACTAAGAACTCATAACTACCTCTTCATTTACCAAATGAACTTCATGTAAGAGCAACTGTGCATCAGACTGAGCCCTGGAGCAAGTCAGATCTAAGACCCTTATGGAAAGAAGTTTCAAGACTTATGCCAGGTAGGATCCTTAATAGAGCCAGTGCCCACAAGCCAAGACCAAAATACAAGCTAAAAGACTTGTCACTAATATTCTAGAAAACCCCTCCTCACAAACCAGCTATACTGGGATGAGACTATAAATGAAAATGTAAAACCCCATTACAATCTCTGCCTTTTACAATCAGCACAGCACGCTCCAGAGCTTGTTTTAGCCAGGAAAAAAAATAACAATTCAAGTTTCAACAGGCCATAGGCAAAATGTGTTAGCAAAGCTCAGATGAAAAACTCCTTTATATTGTCAAGGGAGAGAAACACCTACAGATGAATCATAACTGACTTCATTGTAGTCAGGATAAAGGCTTTACTTGAAGAACATGCCTAGTCTGTTTTCTTTGTCAAACTGAGAATAGATTGCGAAAGAAAACAGCATGTCATCTCACTTCAGATATCTCCTGGGAGAACAGCTTGATGTTTCTAACTGGAATTTTGAGAACCAGGAAAATAGTGATGAAAGACACACAACAAATCATAGAGAGATGTTTTCTCCTCCAAACTGGGCAAAGTAAAGACCCTGACAATGACTCTTCAAGTCACAATAATATTTTTAAATGGGCATGGCAGAACCGAAATGAGTGTGAGCTGATATATTATGCATGTCATTTCATCACAAGGGAATTGTATATTTTCATATAAACCTGACTCCACTTGTCTGTAGCAGCGGTAAATTAATATGTGTGTGAATATTAGTCATTCTTTAGAAGACATATACCTATTAATTAAGAAAAGATTGATGAAGCTAGTTAAATAAAAAGGTAGCTGCATTTTATATGGGTACCTATCTGCATAATGCTAACTCTTTATGCAGAACACCAGTGACATTGATTAATATATTTACATTGAATACACATACAGCATTTGATTGCATTTGCCTAGATTTGTATTGTTTTTACAATTCATAAGATGAAACAGCTAGGTAATATATTCTACAATTCACTGAAACTATGTCTGAAATTATATTAAAATAATAATTTTTAAAAGGCAAAATCGTGCCATTAGGGTTAATAAATTATAACATTAACTTTGCCGATGCAATATAATTCAGAGGCACAAGCATTCCCTTGAATTCCTAAATTACATGACCACATACTACTTTTCCCAAATTGCATAAGACAAATCTTTTCTTAAGATTACTCAGGGCTGTGTAGCTGTAACCTTTTTGCCAGATGTTACAAAGAGCAGTAGTGTTCCAGTTTTCATAAAATTGCCATCTAAAACAGGCTTGACTTGGCTAGTCTTCCCCCAGGAAGTTGGGAGAAAAAAAGCTTTTCCCAAATTCTAAAGAAAAGCCACACTTTGCCATCTGGAAACACTGAGTCAGTGCATAAAACAAAGGAAGTAAGTATTACAGGAGGAAATATAAAATTAACTAGGTGAAGTCCATCAGCAGGGAATAAAGGATATGTAAGTAGCAAATAAAATATCCTTGACCCACCAAGTCCATTTGCTTGTTTCCCATTCTACCAATATGAGGATTCAGTGGGTTTCTTGCACGCTGTGGTTCCTCATGTCGGTCTTATGATCTAGGCCGGTTTTGTTGCCATTGCCGAAATTCAGAGCCTTGGGTAAGCCCCAGGAAAACCTGTGCTGGCTCAGAACTGCTCAGTATAACTCACCAATTTCCACCTCTGCATACAGTACCCAGGTGATTTGCACCAGAGCCTGTCCACCTCTTTTACTCCCTCCAGCCCTGAGTATGAGTGCAAAGCTCCCACAGCCTCCCAGTAAAACCTGAGACTGGGGACCATTCTGCTCCATGCAGAAGGCCTCCTGCCCTCTGGATTCCCTTCCTCTGCATCTCGGGGTGCAGCTTCAAGCTGCCCTGACTGTTAAGCAGGGCGAATGCCCACACAGGCGATGCACCACTGCTCCTACAAAACAGCCCTGTGGTCTTGTTCTAGAGAGATGCTCACCAGAGAGGGACCTGGAGGTGTTGACTGACAGCCGGCTGAACATGAGCCCAGCAGTGTGCCCAGGTGGCCAAGAAGACCAACAGCACCCTGGCTTGTATCAGGAATAGTGTGGCCAGCAGGACTAGGGCAGTGATTGTGCCCCTGTACTCAGCACCTCAAGCACACCCTGAGTACTGTGTCCAGTTTTGGGTCCCTCACTCCAAGAAGGACATGGAGGTGCTGGAGCGTGTCCAGAGAAGGGCAACGAAGCTGCTGAAGGGTCTGGAGCACAAGTCTGATGAGGAGTGGCTGAGGGAACTGGGGTTGTTTAGTCTGGAGAAAAGGAGGCTCAGGGGAGACCTTGTCCCTGTCTACAACTACCTGAAAGGAGGGTGTAGCCAGGTGGGTCTCGATCTATTCAACCAAGTAACAAGCAACAGGACAAGAGGAAACAGCCTCAAGTTGTGCCAGGGGAGGTTTAGGTTGGATCTGAGGAAGAATTTCTTTCCTGAAAGGGTTCTCAGGCATTGGAATGAGTTACCCAGGGCAGTGGTGGAATCCCCATCCCTAGAGGTATTTAAAAGACCTGTAGGTGTGGTGCTTAGGGACGTGGTTTAGTTGGGACTTGTCAGTGTGAGGTTAATGATTTGACTCAATGATCTTAAAGGTCTTTTCCAATCTGGGCAATTCTGTGACTCTGCAGCCAGGGCCTTTCCCCTGTGAGTGAGGGGCTGACTCACAGCTGGAGATCTCCCACCGTGGGATAACCGGCATGAGTTCATCCTGGGGATGTCCATCCTCACCAC